GGTGGCCAAGGCTCTAACCCGTGACCCGCCCGTGATGCCCCCAGGGGTCCACGTGTTCGGACTCTGTGCCACCGCCCTGGTGACGGACGTGATCCAGCTGGCCACTGGCTACCACGCCCCCTTTTTCCTGACCGTCTGCAAGCCCAACTACACGCTGCTGGGGATCTCCTGCGACTCCAACCCTTACATCACCCAGGACATCTGCTCGGGCCAGGACCAGAATGCGATTCTCTCTGCCAGGTACGTCCCCTGCAGTCCAGGGCCAAAGGGCTCGGCTTGAGGGACTCTGCCCCCGATGGTCCCCAAGGAAGGGAGCCCGAGGCCGTCTCTTCTCACCCGCACCCCTGCCGGGGCCCCGCTGCATGTACCACGCTGGGATCTGGCTGCTCACCGTGCCGCAGCCAGGTCCGTGCCAGCACTAGCCCAGGCTGCTCGAGCTGTCCTTTGTTTCCCTTTTGCAGGAAGACTTTCCCGTCCCAGCATGCAACGCTCTCAGCTTTCGCTGCTGTCTACGTGTCGGTGAGTTCACCCGCTTCTCTCCTTATCTCCCCGACTTGCAACCACGGGCTGATGCAAGTATGTGGAGCCCGCAGACAGACGCCTGCCTCACGCTTACAGCTCAATCCCTCACGCATGCCCCCGTACAGCGCCTTCCCCAGGCAAGCCACCTCACTGTGCACACACACACACCCCCAACACACACGTGCTGCTCCACACACACGCAAACACCTTTTGGTGCCCCCCCAGCCCATGCTCCTCCCCCCATGTACTCCCACACACCCGCATGGATACATGCACGCAGCACCCTGCCTTATACAAATGCAAACATACCTACGGTGCCCCCCGACACAATCAAATGCCCCCTCAACATGCACCCATGCGTGCAAACACACAGAGTGCTTTGCTCTCTCTCTCTCACACACACACACGCAAAACTGCATACAGCTGACAAGCCTCACCCTCCTGGGACTAGCCGAGGTGCTCCCCCAAACCGGAAAGGCCTGGGCAGTCCATGCAGGGAGGGGGTCACCCACCAACACAGGAGGTCGCATCCTTGGCTGCCCAGCCAGCCCCGTGCATTTGCTGGGCCAGCGCTCAGCCCGTGGCTCTGACAGGCCCCCGCTCTCCTCTCCTTTGGCCAGATGTATTTCAACTCCATCATCTCGGACAGCACCAAGCTCCTGAAGCCCATCCTGGTCTTCGCCTTCGCCATCGCCGCCGGCGTCTGCGGCTTGACCCAGATCACCCAGTACCGCAGCCACCCTATCGATGTCTACGTGGGCTTCCTCATCGGCTCCGGGATTGCGGCCTACCTGGTGAGTTCACGCCCCGGGGGGCGGGAGCCCGGCTCAGGGAGGGCCTTTGCGTCTCCCTCCAGGGGTTGGCTTCAGTCACTGGCATTAGGAGCGATGGAAGCTCCCTAAAAGTGGGAAGCCCGCGGGCGCCCGAACTGTGACTGGATGGCTGCCGTGTGGTCTAACCCCTGACCCCTGGCCTTTCTCCCCTCAGGCGTACCACGCGGTGGGCAACTTCCAAGCGCCGACCGAGAGGGCCCCGGCCAACCCCCCCACCAAGGACGCCCTGCGGGCCCTGACCCAGCGGGGCCACGACTCGGTGTACCACCAGAATAAGTCGGTCAGCACGGACGAGCTCAACCCCCAGACCCGGCTGGATGGGGTGAACCGCCAGGTCCAGCGGGAGAAGAACTCCCTGGGCAGCCTGAAACGGGCCAGCGTGGACGTGGACCTGCTGGCCCCCCGCAGCCCCATGGGCAAGGAGAACATGGTCACCTTCAGCAACACCCTGCCCCGGGTCAACACCCCCTCCATGGACGACCCCGCCCGGCGCCACATGACCATCCACGTCCCCGTGGACGCCTCCCGCTCCAAGCAGCTCATCACCGAGTGGAAGCAGAAATCCCTGGAGGGCCGGAGCATGACGCTGGCCGAGGAGGCCAGTGGGCACGCAAGGGCTGGCTCAGACTCGGTGGGCGCGGATGAAGAGGAGCACGTCCCCCCCTCACTCTACCCGACGGTGCAGGCCCGCACGGCCGAGCGGGCCGCCATGGGGCCCCGGGTTCTCATCCAGCCCCGGCCGGGGGCGTCCCAGCTGGTTCACATCCCCGAGGAGAGCCAAGGCACTGCCAACATCTCGCCCAACAGCAGCTCGGCCGTGCGGGCCAAGTGGATGATGATGGCGGAGAAGGGGGCGGGCCAGCGGGTGGCCAACCCGCCTCGGCTCATGCAGGTCATCGCCATGTCCAAACAGCAGGGCCTGGTGTCCGTCACCCCCAAGCACTCGGAGACCTCCTCGTCCTCCACCAGCTCCGACTCCTCCCAGTACCGCTCGCCGTCAGAGCGGGACAGCTCCAGCATCGTCACCATCGACGCCCACGCCCCGCACCACCCCGTGGTGCACCTCTCCTCCGGCAACGGGCCCTGGGAGTGGAAGGTGGCCCAGAAAGGCTCGGACGGGCAGGATGCCTACGAGCTGAATGAGATGGGCAAGGATTACCGGGGCTTCCGGCCCACCAGGAGCGCCGGCGTCTCCCCGGGCTCCTCCGTCAGCGACATCGAGCAGGACGAGCCGCGCTACGGCAGCGTGGCCACCATCAACGTGGCGCCGGGAGGGGGCGGGGTGGCAGAGCGGGGCGAGGGCATCCCGGAGAATGTGCTAGGCCCTGCCAGCCGGGAGTCCACCCTGCGGAGGAAGCCCGCCGGCCTGACGGTCAGCGAGAAGGACGGACACACGGACAACGAGGCGGAAAACTACTACAAGAAAATCCAAGCCAACCGGAGATTTAAGGAGTAATTCCCTCCCCCTCCCGCCCCCCGGCTTCCACCCCACCTGCCCCGACCCAGGGCAGCTGTCCAGAGCGGGGAACCTGCCTTCGTGGGTGTCTCCTCTGCTGAACGACACAATCAGCCCACTCCGTGTGCTGCTGCTTTGGGATGAGGCCAGGACCGGGGTGGGGCGAGCATCCGTCTTTGGAGGGCCTCCGGGGATTTATATACAGCAGCCTCAAAGCGGAGCAGCACGTGGAGACGATGGTGCGAGCGCCGGATGGGAGGGGTGGACTAGAAGAGGCAGGGACCGCAGAGTTCTTCTCCAGGGCGTTAAAACAACCAGCCCTCCGCGGGACTCCGAATGTCCAACCAGGGGAGGAATTTTCCATGTTTATTTATTTGTTAACCAGGTGCTGACGGGTCCCGGGAGGGTTTGAGTTTGTTCGGCTGTTGCGATGGTGGGGTGGGGGAGAATGAAGGACCTTGAAAAGGCGGAATCCAGGAGTCCTGGGCTACCAGTTGAGGCAACTGTCTCCAGCCTTGCATGTGGATTTATTTGCCTCACTCGCCGGGAGCTGGCAGCCAACGGATCCAGTCGCCAGCATCCTGTGTCATGTCCTGCTCCATCTGTGCAGGGGTGCACGTCCGGCCACCAACTGAACTCTGGATGCTGTCGGACTCTGTAAATAGCTCCCTGGCTGACGCGCGGGGCGTGCGCGGTGGGGAAGGGGCATTAGCCGGGGCTCAAAGGCTTTTCACTGGCTGCCTGGAGATTTTTCAGGGGCCCTTTGTTCAGGCGTCAGTGCCGGCCTGGCCGCTCCTTGCCCTCTGTGCTGAGTCTCACAGAGATGCTTAGGGACATTCGAAGCTCACCCCATGTACTGCCCGTGGGCGGTCAGAAGAGGCTGACAGACAAAGCTTTCCGGGGGGACACTTGCCTTAGCCGCCCATCGGCCGAGGACACTTTGATAAATAACCCTCCGTGCTTTGCTACCAGGCGGCTCAGTCCTGCTGCCGCTTTACCGCCCCGTCCTGGCACAAGCGTGGGGCAGGGCACGGGCGTCCCAGGCGGGATCCTGGCTTTGGAAGAGCGCCCAGGCTTGGGATGGGGGCAACCCGATTGCGCCGATTTAATTGTCTCTCGCGTCTCCCCGTCCCTGGGGTGAGACGGCGATCAGAGCCGCCAACGCATGGGGGGAGGGAGGAGCAGGGGGCTTTCGCACCAGCCTTGTGATTTGAGCGGGTGGGATTTTTATTTATTTATTTTTTAAATAGCGCGGGAAAGTTTGAGGACGTCTTCGTGATGCTTTTGTCATTGTCGTTTGCCCCCCCATGAAAAACGGCCCCCGGTTCCCCTGGTTCCCCACCGAACCCAATCCACAGCCAAGCTGGCCGCCCCGACTCGCCGTGGGCCTGATCCCAAGCCTAGTGACATCTGACTTCAGTGGGCTTTGCAGCAGGGCCCCTGTGTGGCCCAGGCAGGAGATGGCGATGGGACAGGGGAAGGCAAAGGGACAGGAAATGGATGTTGTCCCCCCGTCACCCCCTGCTCTAGCCAGCAGCTGTGTGAGACCCTGTGGCCTTTGCTTAGCCTTTGGGCATCTGTCTCTATAGCCACAACGGCTAGTTGGTCAGGAGCCGTGGGAGGGCTGTGAGCTGGAAGGCAGGTGGGTGAATGGGAGGCATGTGTATGGGGGTGGAGGGTGGGGGGTTGCATAAGGGGGAAATACACTCTCTAGAGAGATGGGGGGTCCTAGCTGGGCTCTGTGCCACGGGGGAGGAGGGTGCGGGGAGCTAACGCTGGGGGGACGGGGGAGGGGGAGGGGAATTACACAGTGGACTAACAGACCTCGATTCCTTACATTGCCCAATGCTACCAGTGCAATTAGAAGGGTTCCTCTGATCCTGCAGTGCTTTTCCATTTCTCGTGGGCAGCCACGTTTCTGGCTGGCGGGGGAACTCCTCGGGAGAGCCGCGAGGATGGAGCCCAGCCTGGTCCCCCGGCAGCGGCCGAGACAGGGCGCGTCCCCCCCCTTTGAGGGAGCTTGGGGCGGGGAGTTACAGGTGTCATGGTAGGAAACTGCCGCAGAGCTGTAACCTGGGCCGTTCCTGACCCCGCTCTGCAAGGGTGCGAGCACTAGAAGGAAGCAGAGCCGCTCCGGGGCTCCAGTGGGAGGGGGGGACACCCCGACACTAAGCCAGTCCCCAAACTGTAAATGCATCTGTCAGGCGATGGCTGAACCTGCTGTGTTTGTAAGGAAATAAACAAATGAACCTGTGTCTCTCTCCACGTCAGCCTGGTTGCAGGGGGAGGCAGTCTGTTGTCTGGCAGATAAGTGACTGGAAACCTTGTTAAAATTCCATTGCCCCAGTGTGGGCATTTCCTGCCTGTGATGGAGTCGTCCCCCCTCCCGCCCCCCATCGCTCTGCCCACTGCTCTTTGCCCTTGGGCAAAGTTGTGACTTGCCCCTGGGCTGCATGAAAATGCTTCTCAAAAGGGACCTGTTTGCATCGGGGATCCGAACCGATGGTGCCATGCGGCCTGTGCTTTCAGAAGAGAGGCAACCCCTGCATGAGCCCCCCCATCTCGCCTGGCCTCACCTCACCGGCTAGGCAGCCACGCTGGGCTGGGCTGGCCGTATACTCAATGGGCATCATTCTGGGCACTGCGGTGGCATCGTTATGCCAGCTCCCATGGTGCAAAGGGACTAGAAAGCTGGGCAAACTGGCCAGCAGGAAATTCCACTAGCACGGCGAGAATCTGTGAGTAGCATACGGAGGAAAAGAACCCAGGAGTCCTGCCTCCCCAGGTCCTACTTTACCCACTAGCCACTCCCCTCCCAGAGCTGCAAATGGTACCCAAGCGGCTTGAGGCCCACTTCTCTTTGCTTTAACCCATTAGCCCCCAGCCACTTCCTTCCTACAGCTGGGACTAGAACCCAGGTGCCCTGATTCCCATGCCCCCCCCGACCACACGTCCTTGGGAAAGCACCCACTGCCCCTATCTGGCAGGAGCGCCCCTTTCTGACTCTGGCCGGGGCTGCTCCCGGAGCGTTACTGGTTTGCTAGCAGCTCTGGGGGTCTCTGCAGGATCCCCAGCGTGTGGGCTGCCGGGTCTACAGTTCCATCAGGCTCTTCAGTCCAACCTGCCGCTCCCTTGAATCCCGTTCAAAATCAATTCTGGCCAATGCTCGAGCCAGCTGCTGGACACAGCTCCGGGTAGGGCCTCCCCGAATAGCCTGATCACGCTGACGTCTCTAGCAGCCTCCCCTCGCCGAGCCCTGGGCCCCCCCATCCTGCTTTCCTGTCCCCGGCTCCACTTCCTCCCAAACAAAGCTGGTGGCCCCCGCCCTGCGGATAATTGCACAGGGCGCTAGGTGATCGCTCACCCTGCTGCGGCGGGGTGGAGGAGGCTGGAGCCTGTTTCCGCTCACTCCGAGCCGCCGAGCCTTTCGTCGCTGCTGTCAAATGCTCCCCCTGCTCAGCTTGGAAAGCTTCGCTCACCAGCCCCCCCCCAAAGAACTAATGACACCTCCGCAGAAGGGGAGATGGGCTCCATTAGCAGGCAGGTGACCGGCAGCTACGGCTGGGCCAGACTTCAGCACCACCCTCTCCCAAAGCACAGGCCTTCACTCTCTGTTCCTTTAGCTTTCCTGCCCTGTTCCCGCCCCACCCCACCCCCCTTCCACTGTAATTATCGGTTGCTCTTTTAGCTTTTTTGGTCCTAATTTTAACTCCCAGCACATCTGCTGCCACCCCTGCTGCGGCACACGTGTCATTTATACAGCGGTGCTGATCGGGTTCCTGTTGGCAGCGTTCGGCAGAGGCGTGCGCAAAGGCTTGACAAAGTCGGCCCAGTCTGATCATCTGGGGAAACTGAGGCACAGAGACGTGACGTGACTTCCTCAAAGGCCAAATAAAGAACAGAAACCCAGGGGACTTGACTGCCAGGTCTGTGCCCACCCCCAACCACTCCCCTCCCAGAGCTGGGAAGAGAACCCAGGAATCCTGGCTTTGTCGCCGGCTCTAACCACTAGCCCCAACCCTCCCAGAGCCGGGCGTAGAAACCCTGACGCCCCTGCCAGCTCTAACCCACTAGAAACCGGTGCCTCTCCTGAGCCTCGGGGAGCTAAGAACCCAGGCGTCTGGCTGCCAGTCCCTGCTCTAACCCCTAGCGAGAGAGTCCAATGCCTGCCTCATAACACTGACACTACGAATCAGTGATGCTGGCCGCCTTGTGCGAGCTAATGCTGTTCTCCTGCCCCCCCAGAATCCCCCCCACACACACACACACACCAGGGGAGGGGCAGGAGAGTAGGGCTTATGAACCAGCTAAACCGCTCTAACCCCCAAAGCCAGCTGCTAAGATGTTTATGGGCCAGGTCCGCGTGGGTGGAGCCGTGCACGTGGGTGTGAGTGACCGCGTGTGTCTTCGCAAGGCCAGCCAGGTGTTGCAGGCCCCCGGCGGGGCCTAGGGTGACCAGATGTCCCGATTTTATAGGGACAGTCCCGATTTTTGGGTCTTTTTTGTATATAGACTCCTATTACCTTCCACTCCCTGTCCCGATTTTTCACACTTGCTGTCTGGTCACCCCAGCGGGGCCTGACGCTCAGGCTGGGTTGAAGTAAATGCAGGGTGGGGGGAGAATGGTGCAGAGACCTATGGAGGGGAGGGGGAGGGAGAGGAAGCCCTCACACCCCACCCCTAGTACTTACAGAGCAAGCGGATCAACGCGTATGTTTAATATAAACAGCTGTGGCGGGGGGGGGGGGGGATTAACTGAGCCCAGAGCTGGGCCCGGGGGCGGGTGCCACCAGCAATCACCTTCCTGACCTCTCTGCGTGGCCTGGCCTGGCTCTCACGCCCACTCAGGTGCCCAGACGGAGGCGTGCGGCTTTGCCGGCGTGCAGCCGGCAATGTACACAACCGTGTCGAGACATTCCCGTGCTCTGGAAAAGCCCCGAGCCTCGATCGCCCACGCGCCTGGCGCTCCGGCTGGGAGCTGCAAGGGAAGCGTGGAATGCCTGCGTGCAAATGGGCAGCAAGCCAGGGCGCCATTTGGGGGGAAGGTGGGAGCCCCCCTGCGTTTCATACAGGAGGTGTGCAAGCTCCCAGGTGGAGCTCTTAACTACAGCCCAGCATTAGTGTGACATGTAAGTTCTGCAGAGGAGAGGTGCCCCTGGGGCGGGGGGGTGGTCAGTATTTTGTTTACAAACAGGGTGATTAAGCTAAGGAAGGGCTGGTGATTGCATTAAGGATCTGGAAGTTTAGCCTGTAAAAGGGGAATCCCTCTGTGGAGGGGGTGTTTTAGAGCAAACACGGGCGGCGGGGGGGGAGCTCAGAAAACATATAGCAATGCACGGAGCCTAGGTTGCCCCTCAGTGAAGTTGAGCAGGGCTGTTAGCCCCATTGTACAGATGGGGCACCGAGGCACGCACAGACTAAAGGCCAGATTTTCAAAGGGATTTAGGCACCTAGTGAGATTTTCAAATGCACTTAGAAGGTTTGGTGCTTTGGACACCCCATTAGATGCCTAGCTGCAGCTTTGTGATAGAACGTCATCTAGATTTTTGTACAATTGTTTCAATAGTTGTATTCAAGAGCTAGTCACAAAGACTATACATTAAACTTTTAAACCAGTGTTCCTTAAGTGACTTGG